TGGGATGTAAGCTTACACATGGCAGTATCACTTTTCTTTTCCATTGAGATCACAATATCCTTCTTTCTAGCTGAATGACAATTGTGCTGTCACTAAAATTACATCATGCTATCTGCCCTCAGAGGTCATGGTTTATGATTCAAGGGACAGCTGTCAAAATAAAATATACTGTACTATGGGCTTTGGAAATCTCTTAGGTACATACACATCAGTTTTCCTTTTTTAGAAGAGTTGCTATGGAATATAGCAAAAGTGGAATATAAATTGGAATCTTACATATAAATGACAAGTTACAGAATAAATCTGAGCTATAATTGTCACCGATTAACATGACTAGTGTTCTTCTTCAAGCAGTTGTCCCTATCTCCAGATGCTTTCTGCAGGAAACTTTTTTCATGGCCGTGTCTGTGGGTCCAGGCCTGTGTCAAATATTCTCATGCTTCCCGAGGGCATATAGGGGAGAATAGATCCAACTGCTGCTCAAGTTCCTTCTCAGCTGCCTGTGACTAGTGAGAAAGCCTTGCAGTTTCCGTTATCATCAAGTTGAGCTAGTTCACTTTGTAATCTTATTTTATTATTTCAATTAATTTTACTTATTTGTTTTATTTATTCCTCATACATGCTTGGTTTTCTTGGGGCTGCCCCCCAATCTCTGTTTTTGCTGTTGACTTACACATACACAATCCAACCTAGGCCTCTCCTTGTCTTCAGTCTTATCTTTCTGGGATGTGCCTTGACATCTGTGGTAGGTCATTCCTCTTAGCGATGAACACTATAGTTTCTGTGGTCTGAGTCCCATCTTTAATGCAAGCACAAGGTGTCAACTGCCTTTAAAAGCAGATCTAGGAAGCTGAGGGAAAACAGCCTCAAATTGTAGCTGATGGAGATTTCTAGCCACCTGCTACAAATTTTCCCTCCTTATTTAGTCTAAGCACCCAACAACTTCTGTGAGTCTAATGCCTACAAGCAGAGACCAGGAAGCTGCTCTACAGACTTTGAAACCCTGTAGGGAGAAAAGAACTAATCCCTCAACAGAATTCCTAAGAGGCTGCAAATGTCATCCTAAAAGTCAGGGAGAAAGGAGATCTTGTATCCCTGTATAGGTTCTGCCAAAGCTCCTTCCTCCATTACTGAGATCTCATACCACTGAAGAAGTAGTACCAATTCTGGTACTTGTCTCAGAGTTTTCCAAACATAGGAATGCCTAGAAGTAACCACCTTTAACCCCAATACTAGTACTCACTTCTGCAGCCCATGGATATAAGAACTGTACAGATTATCCAGCCATTGCCCCATGGCACTGTCAAGACAAGTGCTTTGCAATCCTGCTTTGTTTGTGCCAACTAGATTCCTTTTGCAAGAAGATCTTAAAAAGTCAAAAGAACTGGAATCTCTTCTACTGAGAGGGATATTCTGCTGGGATCAGTGCCTGAGATAGAGGTCCTGTTGACAGTATGGATGCAGTTGCCAGTCCCAACTTAACTGCCAATATGCACAGTACCAACACCCTGCCCACACAACATTAGAAACAGGGGACAATACCTCCTCAAACTCAAAGATCTGTACCTAACTTTCCAGCGTCTCTGTTTAAACTTTCCTTCTCTGAGAAGTATCCTGAGGAAGAGATCCCAGGAACAGGTACTATCCTATTGCAACTGGGATGCCTGCGAGTTCTTTCAGCCAACTCTTGCAGGAGCTGTGCACCTGGGCACACCCACTTACTTTCACCTTTGCTGTTACCCCACTTAAAAATATACCCATTTCAGGCATTTTTGAGGCTCCTGGCTATTTATCTGTGCATACTTTTCTCCACCATTATACTTTTTCGCATGTTTCCAGAGCAAATGTATCCTTAGGCATGACTGTTCTTTCAACTGTGCCAAATCCCTCCCCTCAGCATCCACCTTCATTGGGACCCTGTTTAGGACTTATCTAAAGCGGCACATACACATATAGAGGAAACTACTCAATGGAGGAGGAAAAGTTACATACCCACATAGTAACTGCGATTCTTTGAGATGTTTTGTCCTTATGGGTTCTCCTCTACCCATCCTCCTTCCCGCTACTTAGGAGTCATTGCATTGGCTAGATCGTATAGTTGAAAAAGAACTGAATTGGCCCTCCCCTATGTGCCCTTGCCCTTAGAATCAGAGGATGAGGATGTATTGGGCACAAGTGCAGATCTTGCCATCAAAAAATTCAGATTGAAAGCATAGAGGCATGCTCACCCCCAAAAGCAGAGCACCCACAGGAACAAAACATCTCAAAGAACCCCAGTTACTAAGCAGATAACTCCTCCTCTATACATCATTGCAGTCAAATTCAGGGCTGATGTAAATAGCAGTCCATGGAATTGCACTAGCCTACATTACAGCTAAAATTGTTACTATCTATGTACAAAACTAGCTGTGATACAGAGGAAGTTTCTCTGGTAAAAGATTTTGTCTGCTTTTAAAATCTGATACACTTTGTCTGTCAGTAACTGACGCTGCCTGCTTGGTTTAAATGGTTTAAATCAGAGAAAATCTAGGCACAGTCTTTTGAAACAGATTGGAATCCACAGAAACTTAATATACTGTGTGGGAAAATACTTAGTTCTTCCTATAGAAGAAAAAATATATTTGAAACAACATGACTTTAGAAAATGGAGTTTTTAGTCAGAAAACGTTTCATTAGTCAGAAAACTACAGTTTTTAGTAAGTCAAAGATGTGTCCAGGTTTCCATTTGAAAGAATAGACCATCAAGACTGATTTTGAAATGGTATCCAGAGCAGCTTCAAAAATGTTAGTTCCCTTTTTAAAAACTGAACATCACAAAGAGCAACATACTTGTGCATCACTTACTTTAGACACCATTTGCTTAGGTTTAAAAGATTTAATTAAAAGTACCCATCATTAACAGAAATGTGGGTTTGAAATTGACTAACATGTAATTTAAGATTTTCATGTTCTCGTCTCAGCTAATTGGGCAAGATGAAAAGTCTAATATTCTATTCTTGAAGAGCTCAGAGACCTCCCCCTTTATTTAGCTTAAACATTTTCAGATGTTACCATTATCTGTTGACACTATGGGTGTGTCTAGATTACAGGGTTTTGTCGACAAAAGTGGACTTTTGTCGAAAAAACTATACCTGCGTCTACACTACCGCTGAGTTCTGTTGACATATTCTGCGAGGAATAACGCCTTTTGTCGACAGAGTTCTGTTAACAGAAGGCGTTATTGCATCTACACTCTCATGTCGAGAAAGCGGCTTGCTTTGTCGACAGAAGTGGATGTAGTCCAGATGCTCTTTGTCGACAGAAGCCTGTAGTCTAGACGTACCCTATGTGATTTCAGAAATAATTGAAAATTCTTTTAAGGAATGCACATCAGGAACAGACCAAATCTTAAAAGAAAACATTCTGGTTTTTTTAACTAAATGTCCTTGATAATTAAAGAAAAATAGAAAAGAAGGATGAGAAGTATAGAAAATATATGAAAGTAGAATTGTTTCTAAAGGATAACTTGCAAGTGAATTAGAAAGAGAAGTAGACTGTCTTCTTGCAAGCAATATAGAATAGATGGAATAGTATAAAGTAATGGTTCTCAAATTTGAGTACTTGGTGGTGGTCTGTCAAGAGGTGGCTGGTCACATGGTGCTCACTGTGCTTTTTTCCAACTGCTAAATCATATAAAAATAATATTGAATACTTTTCCAATGTTACTTTTTCAGGTAATTGCCAGAGGGATATTATGTGATCACAAATAAGAACGGAAGTTGTCTGTGACATTGTGAATGAAAGGGGAAGCATCCAAAAGGTAAACAATCTCTTTGATAGGATGTGGGGTCACACTCCAAAAATGTCTGAAAATCTTTCATACAGGATAGGCATGTAATTTAGCTTAGTTGGCAGTATTGCTAATGGGAGCCAGATGGGTGTTAAACAAGTTTATGCTGTTCAGCGTTATGAATGGATTAAGGCATGTTTTATTTCAAATGTGAGAGTCTGGCTTCTGGAAAAAATATTGGCACAATATTTGTGAATCAGTTGATTAAATAATCTATATAATATTTCAGGATTGTCACTCGGTGGGTCATCCTGATTTCTGGAATGTCTGTAGAATTGATTTGAAGTGATGGAAACAGCTAAAAGCATGGTTAAGAGCTCTCTTTATTCCTATTCTCCCAGGGTAAATCATCACTGGGATTTTACAGTTAATTACTGTCCAATTTTCAATTTATCAGCCATTTTGACATTACCAATTATGCCAGGCCAAAAGTCCTGTGTGATGTCATAGAAAAGTCAGGCACCCCATGCCATTTCCTTATAGGTAATTTGCATGCAACAGTTTTATTGGATAGATGAGCATAACTGCTTTGACCCAAGGACCACCAGCTGTTCAGAGCCACTCACAAAATAGCACAACCAGCATACACAATAACGCCAAATCCCTCATTTGCCATGCATACCAATCAACACAACCACCCCTCCTTCATCACCTCCACTCAGTTCAACTCAACTCCAAAAACAACCTCTAGCCACAAGGGATCACCACCATCCACATTACAACACAAATAACAATAACCCCAGCATACACTCCCAGACACAGACCAGTGACCTGCACAACAGCATAACCAATATACACATCTCCCAGCACAACATAACAAACACATACAATAATCTCAAAAACAGATATCCATTCATAATAGTTCACACTCCTCCTTCATCACGTGCACAAATCAGCACAGTATCTCCTAGCACAGCACACTCATCCACCCTCACTCAGACTTCCCAGTAACCCATAAACTTGAGCTGCAAAACCACAGCTCTTCCATTGTAAAATATAAGCAACTTATTGTGCAATGAGACCACTGGTAGATATTCTTTGCATAAATGTAAGCCCATAATGAAAAGCATTCACAAATAAGTTATTTGTACAAAGATCTGATATTGATTATGACTACCAGGGGACTCTTGGTAGTGACATGCCACCGTTTGATGAACTGTAATGCAAATACCTGACTCAGGGTATTCCTGTAAATCTGTGCCTCAAAACTGTGGCAGTGTGATTGGTCTCCAGTCACATGTCCATGTCGCAGCACTCTGAAGACTCTGGCCTGCAGCTGAGTCAGATAACCAAAGGTCACAGGAAGACAACCAGAGGCAGCACCTGAAGAGAGAGCCTGTTCAGACAAAGATAAGATTCAGAGTGAAGGAAAGAGCATGGGGGCAAATTTTCTGCACCGGTCAGGTAGAAGATATTTACAGATGCAGAAGCTTTACCTGGGAAAGATTTTAGGAATGATGATTTGGGGGAAGGATGGTATAGCTTGGAGGAGAGAGAGGTCTGGAAGATGGTATTTGAATTAACATTGAACTGTTAGGTTTTTATTAATAAACCTGATCCCAAGAATGGGACTGTAATAGGGAGAGCTGGCCCTTTAAGAGGCTGCGGGTTCAGCTACACTGTGTCAGGCTCAGTCCACCTTCCCCAGTGAAGGGAGTAAGTTCCTGGATCACAGGTAGAAGATTGTAACACAGAGCCAGACCTGCTGAGATATAAAAGGTGGTAGTGCCTTGGGCATAAGAATTGCAGGAAGTGGACAAGCTCCTGCAAGAGACCATGGGTTAGGGAAAAGACCCGGTTTACATGTGGAACTTAGGGCTGTCCGAGTCAGAACTACAACAATGGCTGCCCATCGCAGGAGAGCCATAGCCTGTCATACGTCCAAGGCTGGTATAGGGGGCTCTGTCTGTGAGGCGGAGCGCTTCCCATATAAGGGCATGTAAATTACTGATCTTCCCCTGCTCGCTCCACCCACTGCAGTGAAAGATCAGCCAATGAGCTGACTTAAAACAGGCAGGCAGCCCCTCTCTCACTGGGGATTCGCATTGAGTGAACGCCTGGCCTGATCACCCAGACGCCTTGCACCCCCCGCTCTTGAGTCTTACTGAGCGTACTCCGAGTTGGTCGACCCGAGTGGAGACAGTTTATGAGCGTGTGACCGGTACTTGTGTTCCTGCTGTCTCCAGAACTGGTATACCCCCCCCTCCCCCGCCATCATCCCTATCCTAATTGATTTTTTAGTTGTCCTTATTGCTTGTCAAGTGACAGTGGCTAAAAAGTTACTAAGTTAGTTTATAAATAGTTGTGGTTTAGGTTTTTTACTGTTTCCTTGTATAAAGTTGTGTAAATAGTCAGCCCTATGGATAATACCAGTGTTAATTCAACTGTTCCTAACCCCTGGGCAGTTATTGGGAATTATTGTGATTTAGAAAAGCCTCAGGGAATTGTTTTGTGTTGTCTGGCAATCTGTTTAATTTTTGTTCTGATGATTGTCTGGCGCCATCAAAATAAAATCAGTTTGTGCTTTTTAAAACCCCCAGTTGTGGTCTCATCCTTTCCGGCATCCCTTCGAACCTTGTGTTTTACGGGGACTGACAAGGGCTTGTCTACACTTACAGCACTGCTATAATGCTTAATGATCACCTGTGCTGATGTGAGAGCTTCTCCCATTGCTGTAGGTATCCCTCCTCCCTGAGTGGCGGTAGCTTTCCTTGATAGGACAAGTCCTCCTGTTGACATAGCACTTTCTATACACCCTGGAGCAATATAGGTATAGTGACATCAATTCTTAATCTACACAGAGCCTAAGAAATAAAACTCAGGCCTTGAAGAAAAGGGAATGAAATGGTGTGGCTGCTGAGTATTCTAGTTGCACTGGCTGATTAAATGCCAGATTTGACTCTTGTTACAATACTCACACTCACTGACAGAGGGGGGCAAAGGAGGCAATTGCCTCGGGATGCGGTGATTCAAAAGAGCCTGAGGCTCCTGCTACTTCTGTGGCATTTGCTGTCCGAGTGCCACGGTGCGGTGTGCTGTGGGTGGCTCCGAGGGCTGCTGGGGCTTGGGGAGCACATTCTGGAAGGTGCTATGGGCTGGCTATCCCCAGCCCTGCTCCTTCTATCCAAGCCCCTCCCTTTGCCTAAGAGCCCAGCAAATCTATTGGCTCCCCTGACAATATGTGGTTCATTTATGTGGCATTTTCATTCAAATGCATTTTACATGCTAACAGATTATGTAAGACACTTATTTTTGACCACGTCACAGTTTCTTGTACTAATCATAGCAGCAATTTAAGAATACACAGACACAAGGCTGAAATTAAGAGACTTGTCTCAACAGAGAAGCTGCACCAAGTGAACTAAAAATGGTTTTAAAAAGCCACTTGAGTTAAACCATTGCAAATCTCTTTGTGGGCCTCCATCACTTTACTGCTGATTTATATTGTACATTTATATTGTAAATTGTATATTTAGATTAAAATTGGTAAATCTATGGTGTGCCCATTCAAGGGGTGGTCCCAGTTGAAATGGAGTAACGTTAAAATGAAGAGTAACGTTAGTTCGAACCAAGGAGTTTGGTTCAAACTAACGCGTTCTGGCGTGCACTTCCTGGTTCAAATCAGCTGTGATTCGAACTAGTGCACCGGCGAGATCATGCTAATGAAGCACAGGATATTTAAGTCCCAGCTTCATTGACTATTTCAAATGCCGGCATTTGCATCCCTAGTTCAAACTAGGGTGCAAGTGTAGACATACCCTAAGACACAAGATCTGAGTTAGGCAACATAGGTTCTTCGAGTGATGTCCTCATGGGTGCTCCACTGTTGGTGACAGGTCATCCCAGAGCCGCAGATTGGAGCTTATCAAAGCAGTTGTCAGTTGGGTCTTGCACGCACGAAAGACGCCTCATGATATTTGCACCTTAGCTCCGCGTGCGGCCTGACCTTCCCTCAGTTCCTTGCTAACCGCCCTTGGTTGCAGACAGAGCTTGATCTCTCGCCTTCACTTAGGATATTCGTTTAGATTAGTTTTCAAAATAGTTACCATTGTTAAGTATTAGTTATAATTTTTTCTTGACATTCTAGTTAAAAAAAAGGGGGGGAAGTGGGAGTGACTCTAGTTGCACAAGAGGCTGTGGAGCCTTCCGTGACCCATGCCTTCAAAAAAAAAAAAAAAAAGGAAAATACAAAAAACCAACAACGATGAATGACAACATTGAAACTAAAGGAGAAGAGGGAGAGCCGTATGCAACAGGACATCCAGGGACAGTATGCTGGGCTCACTGGGGTTTAGTAAATGCGACATGTCACGGCCGCATGCTGATCTCAGACGGGTATTTGTCCTGCATCCGATATTTGGAGGGGACACTCATATCCCCCAGAAGTGTGACCACTGCTGCAGCCTAATGGCCAGGGTGAGAAAGTTAAGCTAACTTTATTTGACAAGGCAATGCAGCCTTAAGAGCCCCAACTGCCATCTCAGACTCAGCCCAGAACATCAAAGAAAAGGGCGGGCTCATCCCTTTCCAAGCTGTCTTCTAAAAGAAAAGTTTCCCTGGCACACTGTCTCCCTTTGACTCCTTCTAAAATTAGTAAGGGAGATGAACCCAGCACTTCTAGTACCATAGTGCTACAGCCTTCCACCAGCATCACTTCAGCATCTCAGGAACCAGCGACAGTGCCGACACGAGCATCCTCAGCACCGGCAAAATCACACAGGTCAACTCCGGCACTGACACTGATGAGATTGCAGGACCCAGCACTGACTAGACCATCTGTCAAGGGGTTGGCACCAACTGCCAGATCCACCTCTCATAAGACCTCACTACTGGTTCCGGCAGGCTTGGCACCGGACTCTATGCCACCACCATCCAGCCCTGTGGCACTGATGGAAGAACTGACACATACTGATTGATCAGTACTGGCTAAATCTGACCATGCTCCGCCAGCTCCAGGAGTGCAAGAGAAAGACCATGCTCTCAGACTTTAGCTAGGGAACTTTCTCTGGCACCCTCATCAGCCCACGGCTCTCCAAGGCTTATCAGATACCGAGTGCTCTCTGAGCACAGTGTCTTCAGGAACGATGATTACAGGAGTATCTTTTCATCACAACACTCCTCGCCAACTAGAGATCATCGTTATTACCATTGAGAGAGACCTTGCCACCCGCTGTGGTACATGCAGTGACCATACCCACCACCACAATAACCACCTCAATGGCCATCCTAGGATCATTAGGGCTCCTATAGACATAGATCCACAGCCTCGTCCACTCCCACAAAGAAACCTCCACCAGTCTCACCACCCTATACTCTTCCCCCCTACAGACGATTTGGAAAAAGAGGAAGGTCAGATCCAGGAGGAGGATCCTGACCCACAGGCCACAGATGCTTCACTGATCCCGGAAGGCACGTGCCCTGATGATAACTTGAAGCAATTTCAAGAACTTTTTAAAAGGGTGGCAGCAAGCCAGGAAATTCCTTTCCAAGATGTGCAAGAAAAGCAGCACAGACTGCTAAAATTCTCCAACCTACGTTGCATGGGAAAATCGCCCTACCCATAGATGAGGCGATAATCGAGGCATGGACGAGCTCTGGCAAACCCCTGCCTCCATTCAGCCAACCTATAAAAGGGCAGACAGGAAGTATTTCATCTCAGCCAAAGACATGGACTTTCTATTTTCCCACCTGCATCTGAATTCACTTGTGGAAGTAGCACAGCACCAATCTAAGGTCCCACTTTTTATGGTCAACAATAAAGACCATAAAAAGTTGGACCTTTTTGGCCAGAAAATATACTCTTCTGCCACATTGCAGCTGAAGATTGCAAACTACTCAGCCCTTCTCGCAAATCACGATTTCAACAACTATTCTAAATTGGTGGAACTAATGGAACATCTCCCTGATATCAAGAGGCCCATCTTGAGCGTTATTATTCATGGGGGCCATACCATTGCCCACACGGCTCTACAATCATCATTGGACATTGCTGACACTGCTGCACGGGCAACTGCAACTGTGGTCGTGGTGTGCAAGGCATCATGGTTGCAGTCCTCAAGGATACCCATAGAACTACAATCTAAAGTGGAAGACCTGCCTTTTGACAAGCAGAAGCAGTTTGCCATCAAGGTGGATGAAGTCCCACACAGCAGCATAACATTGAACTGGTGGGCATTGGAGATAATTCATATGGGATATGTTATCCCTTTGACCTCCCTCACCCTAACCCCATCCCTCTTCAAGGACCTCTCCCACAGGAACCTTCTAAGGCAAGAAATTGATTGACTCCTGCATCTGGGAGGAAGACATGATGTTGGAGACCAATTATGGATCTCTACATCTTAAACAAATTTCTCTGCAAACAGTGATTCAAGATGGACACCCTCACAACAATCATTCCCGTACTGGATGAAGGGCCCTGATCTTTCCCATACTGGTTCACAGCTCTCAACCTACAGAATGCATATTTTCATATTTCATATACCCATCCCACAGATTATATCTTTGTTTCATTGTAGGCAGGGACCATTTCCAACACAAGGTCCTGCCCTTTGGTCTATTCTCCACTCCCTGGGTCTTCTCATGGATCCTAGTGGTAGCCCATGGCCTATCTTCGGCGACAGGGGGACATGATTTTTCCATACCTGGATGACTGCCTCATAAAAGGTTGATCTCACAAAGAGGCAACCAGCATGGTACTTAAAACCAGGCAGTTGTTCAATTGCCTGGGCCTTCTCATAAACAAGAAGAAATCCACAATAGAACCCATAGAGTCCACCAGGGCTCACCTGGACTCAATATCAGCTCAGGCGTATCTGCCCCACCATGGCTTTACCATTCTACAGTACTTGATCGTAGTACTATCCACAAGCCCTTCCACTACAGTACTTACCTGCCTCCATCTGATGGGTTATATGGCAGCAACTGCATACGTAGTTCAACATGCCCATCTCCATTTTCGTTCTCTCCAACATTGGTTCACATCTGCCTATACCACATCCCACCACCCTAGGCATAAGCTCGTGACTGTACTACCAGATGTTCTCACCTCACTGCAATGCTGGACATCCCTGGACAACCTCGTTGGAGAGGTCCCCCTTCACCAACCCGAGCCTTTGGTGAAGATCACAATGGATGCTTCCCTCACGGGCTGGGGCACTCATCTACAGCATCACTTGGCCCAAGGCAGGTGGTTGCAACAAAAGGCCAGATTACACA